CCAAATGTAAAAAGAAAAGAGGAAAAAAAAAAAAAAGAAAAGAACACAATGGTGTGTCGACAGTTTGACAAATCGGTGAACCGTAAGAGCGACAGAGGACCGACGAACCGATATCACTCTCTCCCCCTCCAGCCCCCGGCTACTTTTACTGTCAGAGGAACTTGTATACCAATACATTCATTCCGTAGCTTCTAATTTTATTTTTCGAGTCCCGTTCGACTCAATCACGCGTGGACGCGTCGAGGGCAATCGCACTTCCATTTAAACGGAACAGACGCATGTGTCAGCAAATTACGTACATTATTTTTCCTTTGGCTCTCTATCGTTTCGAAACTATGTACGCGTTATTAAACAGGAAAGAAAAAAAAAAAAAAAAGAAAAACAATTCCGGCTGAATCTATACTCGTATATATATATATATATATACACACACAAACACGTACGAGTAGAGATTCAAGCGAAGCCGGAATTGTTTTTCTTTTTTTTTTCGCGAAAAACGAAAAATATTCCATGTAATTTGCACTGTAACGTGCGTCTGTTCCGTGTAAATGGAAGTAATAAATCGATTATCCACGACACGTACATACGTACACGCGTGATTGAGTCGAACGGGACTCGAAAAATAAAATTAGAAGCTACGGAATGAATGTATTCGTGGACCTACCGATACGCTCTTTCTCTCTCTCTCTCTCTCTCTCTCTCTCTCTCTCTCTCTCTCTCTCTCTACCTAATTCCTCCTCGTACAATAATAATTTATAATCATCTATAATACTATAATATATATATTTATAAAAAGCATCTTAACAATAGTGACTGTGAACCGGTGCGTGGAGGATTCAGCGTGAGGATTCAATTCGATTTTCATGAGCTTGCCAGAGCTCGATTCGGAGCTTGCTACCCGTAGTGTGTACAAACCAATGGAAATTCCATTTTGTTTCTCCCTCCCTGATCATATACGTATTTGTCTCTCTTTTTCTCTTCCTTACCCTAAAACTCTGCAACAGCACCGTTTCTCCTCCTCCTCCTCCTCCTCCTCCTCATTGGGTAGACGCGTCGAACCGAACAAACGTGGTTTCTCTACACGCAGCTGTGTCGTCTACGTACCCCTAAATATTCCACTAGGACGCGTGGCCGACGTTAGCCGCGGCGGGGTTCCCAAGGGATGCGAAGTGATGCACGTACTTGTTGCGGTGATTCCGAAGAAAGACCGTGTTCGAGCTGGACGTCTCCGACGTGTCCAGGTCCTCGTCGTCCTCTTCGTGCATGGTGTCGCTGCTTGGGCTGCGGCTTAGCGGCGAGTCGCCGACGCTGTTCGACCTGCACTGCGAGTGCATGCCCGTTGACATGGATAAGTCCTCTGGTTCGGTCTGTTCCGGCAGATCCACGGGGATGGACAGATTCAACGGTATTGGCAGAGAGGCGGTGACGACGGGGCTCGGTAACTGACGATGCGCTGGCCTTACCGACGTGCTCGTCTTCTTATTGACGTGCAACGACGTTGCCTCTGGCTCCTCCACTTCCACGTCGATATCAATGTCAATGTCCTCGTCGAGATCGTCGCTGGCCAAAGACGGCGAGGCGACCTGTGATCTCGTTATTTGTCCAGGATTCGCGTTCCCGGTGCCGCATTTGTGGTGCATCAGATGGTGCCTTCGTCTGAATCGCATCTGACAGTGCTCGCATTCGAACGGTTTCTCGCCTTTGTGGATCAGCAGATGAGCCTTCAGCTGGTTCGAGTCGCTGAACTTGGCCGCGCACAACTCGCACGCGTACGGCCGCTCGCCGGTGTGCACGCGCAAATGGCGGCGCAGGTTGGCCACTTGGACGAATTGACGGTCACAGTGGCTACAGTGGTAGGGCTTCTCGCCCGTGTGCAGCCGCATGTGGGTTTTTAGGTGATGGTCCCGCGTGAATCTACAACAACGTCAACAATTTCCATCTTAGCGTTGAACTTTCGGTATACGCTGTCGCCAAACTGCAACATTTTCTAAGTTTTCTAAGTTTTCAGTATATTAAAATGTAAATGTAAAAGTATATTAAAATGTAAACCCAGGCAAAACAAATGATAAGCTCGTTACTTTTTGATAATTTCTATACAGTGATATACACCGACGAGTTCAAAAGAAAAAGAAAGCGACGAATTATTGTATACGGTGCAGGTCACTCGTTATGGTCCGCGAACCAGTTGCCAGCGCAAAGGGATTAAAGGTTTTAAAAGCACATTTTCATAGAGTCTATTTAATCGCTCAACGACTCGAGGTGCTGCTTCGTTTTTCGGAAGCTACGACACGAACGACACGAAAGAAATAACTAGTAGAGAAAACAATGTAGCGTAGAAGTTTGCAAGTACGAAGAGAAAAAATTCTGGCGCAGGGGTTGTCGAGAGTATTTGACCTTTGATCAACGGAATAAATATCTCGATACTGCTTTCTTCAAAGCTGCTACTCTGACTTTTATCCGTAGCCCGTTTCTCAGATACGTTTCAAATGGAAATATCGTGCCCGCAGATTTGCATCTTCGGCATTCTGAATAAAGAACAGTGGCACAAAGCAAGGCGAGGAAATAAGGGGGAGAAATACCGTCAATAGGATGGAATTCACGGCGAAGTTTACTTTTCAATGACTTTAAACCCCCCGCGTAGCCTAGTCCGTTTTTATCAAAGCTGGCAAACTAATGCCGTTCGCATTGTCACGAAGTATCACGAACGGAATTTCTACACGTTGTAGGAAACACTTGAATTTCCCATCCGAGAAATATTCCACTCAATGATATAACACCAGACCAGATCATGAGTGTTATGGCAATCGGTAGAAAGATGGATATGGTTCGATGCAACTCACCTTTTATGACATTCCGGGCACTCGAAAGGTTTCTCGCCAGTGTGGGTGCGTTCGTGATTCTGCAGTACGTGCTTGTAGCCGAATGATCTGGAACACACGCCACAGGTGAACACCTTGTCTCTCGCGTCCTTGTTCGCCTCGGGGCTGATCGAACTGAGCGGGCTAAGAGGCGCCGATCCCTCTATCGGTTGTTGCACGCTCTCCGCCTTCGATTTCGTCGATTTCCTCTTTGCCGATCTCTTCGTGATTCTGTCGCCGCTGCTGCTCACAACGTTGTTATTATTGTGGTTGTTGTTGTTGTTCGTGACGTTGTTGGTGGCGCGCCTGGAGGTCGACTTGGTGCTCAACGCGGGCGACACAGGTCCCGGCGAGTGATGAAGCGGCAACGGGGGCGAGGACGCGGTCGGCGGAGCCCAACCGCCGAACAGAGTCTGATGGTGCCCGTAGAGAGACGGGCTGGCGGCTAGAGTGGCGTGCAGCGACACGGGAATCCCTGCAGCCATCAGAGCCGCTGTTCTACTTGCAGCCAACAATTGCTGTGGCGTGAGCATAGACAAACCTGCCGGCGCGTTACCCATCCCAGTGAACACCATTTGCGATCTGTTGTTCAAGGACGGCGAGAGCGGCTGCTTCTCCGATTCTTGCTTCATGTCGAGGTGTTGCCCGGTCAAGAGTCCTGCGACAAATTTCAATCGTGCGTGAACAAAAAGAGACAGAGAATTTTGCTTCGGTCGAAAGAGTCGAAAGAGTCGCGCCCACACTTTTATCTCTCACACGAATATCAGAAAGATCCAAGAATTTTAGAAAACAACCAGCAGCTACCTTCCTAACGACGAGACTAATGAAAAACCGATTAGTAGACATTTTTCGGATTTGTCCGACGAACAACGTCGCGTTTCACAACAAATCGCGCGCGGCGTGGCCGGCTGACTACGGGACACGATAGATGCGCGAAAAAAAAAAAAAAGACGACCACGTTTCGTACGTGTACGGAATCGTATGGCGGAGAGAATCTTTTCTCCCGCGTGCTCCACCGCGTCTATCCCTATTCTCCTCCTTGTCACTCGCTCGCAACACTCCCACACATGTCGCTCACACGTGAGCGAGAAAGCACGGTCCTCCTCCATTCACTCTCACACTCTCGCACGGCGGCGGTTCATTCATAAGCCTCGACTTCCCACTCACGTCACCACGATGTACCCGCCTCCTCTCTTCGACTTGAGGCCAACGACTCTGCGAAAGTGCAAGCCACGCCGCACTTCTGCGTGGATCTTCCTTTCCACGTGGTCTTTCGCGTGGACACACGTGGAATTTCTCTGATGTCGCACAAGTCTCGAATCTCGAAGAACCTCCTCCCACCCCGTCTCTCTTCGGCATGCTTAGGAAATGAATTTTTCGCGCGAGAGTCGAATCTCCAGAAATTCGCGAACGAACATTTTCAGGATTTTCCGCGTGCAAATCGTTGGAATCGATTTTTTTTTTTTTTTTTTTAACTACGTCAAACGATCCTCTGAAAGCTTTCATTGTTTCCCGGAGAGTCACGTTTCCCATGTCATGGTTTGAGAAACAGCAACATTGGAATTGGTATTTTTAAATGTTAGAGAAGAAAAATTCTCGAACTTTCTTCTTCTTCTTCTTTTTTTTTTTTTTTTTTTTAAAAAGGGGGATTTTGATAGAAGAAAATAAAGGATAATTTTAATATTCGCGAAAAAAAAGGAGAGCAACCCTCGTATTAGGGTTACACCTTCCAATGATTGCTTATCCGCGTGATCGGCGAGGCTCGACGACTCGGGGTAATTGAATTAATAAGAGGCTGGCTTTACGAAATTAGCGGATGCAAGGGATATTACGATAACGACGAAATGATAATATTCGACCGATGGATTTACATCGTCGAGATCGTTCTCCTTGTCCGAGTTTTGCTTCTTAACTGGTCAAGGGATAAATCAACATCGTGACTCAAATCGTATAATTACAGCCGGGTACTGCTCTGTCTAATTATTCGTGGCAATCTACATGCGAGATGAGACGAAGTTTAATTTAAGAAAAAACAATGAATCAAGCGGCCACGCCGGTTCGGCCACTTGCTAATTAATGGACCGTTTAGAAGAGGGACCCGAACCCCGGTAATGAGACCCCGGTTGAATCAATAAGGGCGCGTAAGATCTATTCCTCCCTTTTCTTCTCTCATTCCCCTAAAACCTTGCCTCCCTTAACGGTGGCCTAAGATTCTTACAGCCTACAATTGCCGTTTCCCGGCAACACGACCAAGAAGTACCGCCCCTGCTCCCATCCCCATCCTAATTGGTCACAACCCCAATATTCCGTTCCGAAGCCACGATCTCTTTCCCTTAACCTCTCGGTGCTGGTATGATGAGAATATTTGGCCGAAAATTGCGATATTTTCTCAGTTTTAAGTATATTTAAACGTACAATTTTAAGTAATTTAAATTCTCAATTTTAAGTAATTTAAATGTACAAAACAAATGATAAACTTATTACTACTTAATAATTTAAATGTATAATTTTCAGTAATTTAAATTCTCAGTTTTAAGTAATTTAAATGTACAAAACAAATGATAAACTTATTACTTCTTAATAATTTCTATCCAGTGACATCATACCGACGAGTTCAAAAACTAAGCGACGAATTATATCGTATATGGTTTGGTCACTCGTTACGGTCCGCGAACCAGTTACCAGCGCAAGAGGTTAAAGCTACGAATAAGAATTTCTTCTTTCGCTGCTGGTCTCCTTTACGAACACAACGGCGGACGTAAATTCAATAAATAACACCTTTGAATTTCGTCAATTTTGGAAATCTTACTTTTTTTCCTTTCTTTCATGATCTCTGAACGAATCTATTTTTGACAATAGTCGAGCAAGCTCGCGTTGGTTACTCCTGTGGAAAAGCTACGATCTTTTCGTAGAGAGCGTATTTCAATCGATCGATAATTAATGGAAAATTAATAATTCACACTTGAAAAAAAACGTCCATAGACAAAAGCGAATGAAATTTCGTCGAAAATCTCACCTGTTTAATCCCGTGATTCCCCGAATCAAGCGCGCAATACAAGCTGGCGCGCGCGCATATACATATACATATATATATATATATATATATACACACGTAACACCGTCACAGTTTGTTTATAACCTAGAAAACGCGTTCGCGGAGATCGTGGCAAACGTCAGCGAACGCACTTCGCGTTTTCGAGCATTTTCCGTTGCAATCGCGCGGTTTATTTTCGGACGACGAGAAACGGTTGCAACGAACGCGAAACCCACGTCGAGTCTCTCATTTTCCCCAACTTCACTCTCCCCTTCCCACCGATCGTCGACTAATTTCACGTCCTCCCGGCTTATCGATGTTTACAACGTGTCACAATACCAGCGTGTCGCCGCGGAGCGCTTTTAGACTTTGGCGGCGGTCCAGTCGTCGAAACGAGAAAAACCTTATACGTTCGTCATTTTTCGTTTTTTCTACCGAGACTGCACGTCTCGTCCAATGTGCGTGACCAGTAATGCGGTTAGGTAACGTCTCCTCGTTTAACGTGTAAAACAAAGAAAAAGATACACGGTGTATCACCTTGGCTGGTACACGTCAAAACAAACGCGGAACGAGGCCGCGAGAGCCTTTTGTTTTTTTTGTTTTTTTTTTTTTTTTTTTTTTTTTTTTTTTTTTTTTTTTTTGACCGGATGTGACGCGCGACGTTGACGTACGACGAATCTCGTCGGCGTGATACATTTTCACTTGCGTCGGAACGATGCGAACGTTGGCGACGTTTGCGACGTATTTTCCAACATAACCCTTTCTCGCCGTTTCTGTCATTTGGAAATTCCAGCGGCAACGCGCTCGACTTACGTTTGTTTCAGCAAAAGTCAACAAGTTTGTTTGATTTATACTTCCCGTCGTTGTACTTCTTTTCAAACACTTTCGTCGTTTAAAAGCCGTTGAAACAAATCCTGAGACGAACGTCTGGACGCGGTATACAGAGAAGCGGGTCAAGCTTCGTTACCTGCGTTAATTTGCGCCTCCTGGAGGTAAGACAGTGCCATTCTACGATCCGTGATGCGTGTTTTCACTGTAACACTCCATCCACCTCTTTGCACAATGCGCGAGACACTTCCGACGACAGCAGGCGACGCAAGATATATAGACGAAACAAGTATATGTGCATGTATATATCTGTATATCTATATATATATATATATATCTGGATATATATATATATATATATAAAACCTAATGAACGAGCGGCACTGCACAAACAGAACGTGGTCGAACGGAACGAGTGGATGTTGCTGATGCTTCCCGAACTAAAATTCCTCCTTCTGTGTGTCGCGTGGACAGTTAGACATAAAGAGAAACCACCACGGTGGATCATCGAGCGAATTTCTCTTCGATTGGGATGATTCTCTTCTTTTATACGACGTACGATATATATATATATAATCTTTTGACAACTTGCGTCTCTCTGTCGACGTCCTCGGCAAAACTGGCGCGTGTCCCGGCGGTGTTGAGCCTGGCCACGAAGAGGAGCGAAGAGAGGAAAACAAAAAAAAAGGAAAAAAAAGGGAGGAAAACAAGAACAGGAGAGGGGAGGGGAGAAACAAGGTACGCAAAAACGTGTTACTATTCTACTATAAACAACAAACGTCGCCGTCCGACCACGAGCAACAACCGCCGACCGATGTTACTCCGGGCTGACCTAACCCAATACTAACTTACAATCGAGTTGCGCTCACTGTAGTCAAACATCCCCCACCCTTTATCCACGGACTCCCTACTACGCGCTCTTTCGCCCCACCAGCGGCGGACTTTTTCTACCCTCTCGAATCGCAACCCTAGATGCGCGAGTCGTGCCTCGCCATAAAGGGAGAGGGAGGGACACGAAGCCAGTCTGAGCGCGTGTCAGACGAAGACGGAAAGGGTGGAAGACGTTAAGGGTGGCGCGAGAGAGTAGATATACACACGCTCGACGTATGGAACACGTATTCTCTCGATGAGATGACGAACGAGGACAGAATGCGACACACACACACACACACACACACACACACATATTGAAGGAAGAGTTAGACTGTGAAAGAAAGAGAGAGAAACAACGAGACAGGGTGAACCTGTGGCCGTGATCTTTATGGGTGGGGGTCGTTTGCGAGTGTAGCAGGCAAGACTGTATGTATATACTTCTCTATCGTGTCACGACGGACGAGGACGGCCGCAGAAGGCGGGTAAATCGGTGAAACCTGTGCGAGAAGAGACAGGGAGTGGACGTGACGCGACACGGAGAGGGAGAAAAAGCCGAGCGCGAACGATATTCTGCAACTATAAAACCGAAACCGCCGTGCGACGCGACGACGTTCTCTCACCATTTCGGATCGCGAGCTACAAGGACGATAGAAAAGAAGAAGAAGAAAAAAGAAACCAGGCGAAAGGGTGTAAAAGGAGATTGTTACTAAAGGCGGACCTTTCTCCGCGCGACAGTCATTCTCTTAATGCATACACCAGCTCTTTTCTCTCTGTCGTAGAGAGTAGTCGTTTCGCCAAGGGAAACGTTCTCGTAGAAATTTCTTTCTCGTTTCAACCTAGAAAACTGTTATTCTCCTTTTCCCCGCTTTGGAAATTTTGTTACCAATTTTCCAATTCCGTTTTCTATTTCGTTTTCTATTTCTGTTACTTTGTTCTTTCGCGATCACTTTGGCTTTTTTTCTTTTCTCTTTTTTTTTTTTTACGGCTTCGCGTTTACGCTCCACGTGTTGATTGAATGTTTGATCGCCGCCCATTCGCGACGATGCTTTATTTATTGCTGCTTGATATTCGCAAATCTCTGGCTGTTTTTCCGTCTTTACGTCGAGTACGCAAGTGCACGAACGAGTTTCGTGAGACTTTAACGCCAGTCTTAATAATTCACCAGCGGTCGATAAGGATCGCGAAGGTACCGTGTCTACAAACCGCTACCGCCTCCTTTGTAACTCGCGTCGCGACGACACACGACGACGCGGCGCATTAAACATTCACGAACGGCACACTCGCTGATTACGCGTGAAACACCGAGAAAGAAGGAGACACACGCAAGTACCTACCTGTGAAATCTCTCAGACTTTGGCAAAGCAAACATTCCGAGTATTATATTCAAATAACATACCTCTGTACCTGTGGGATATAATATTATAATAAATACATATTGCCGAAATCATAACGAATGATAACTCTCATACGGATTAACTGGCTCTTTGTGACTAGTTGCATGCGAATTTAACCAAAAAGTTGGGGTTGAGGAAAAGTCGAAAAGATAAAAAAATATCCCGGTAACAAAAAAAAAAAAAAAAAAAAAGAAAAAAAGAGGTAAAAAAAAAGCTCTCGCTGCTGGTTTGTTTACGGTTTCTCGATGCGTTTTTCCACGTAGCGCGTCTCTTTCAACAATCAAACGCGCGCCGGCCGAACAATGCAATTTACGCAGGCGACGGCGTGCACCGGTATCGCGACGAAACGTCGAGAATTCCTCGTCGGCGGCGACTTCCGTCCAACGATAACGCGCGCATCGCGCAGAACGCACAATAGTCTAAAAAGCACAGAGCTCCTACTGTTTTTTTTTTTTTTTTCTTTTTTCGGAAAAGAACGAAACGCTCCCCTCTCCTTTTTTTTTTCGCGTTCGAACATCGACGCAACCCCCCCTCGAGCTCGGGCTTTTTTCTCCTCTTTTTTTCTTTTTTTTTCCTCTCGGGGGTGAAAAGTAGGAGACACGCGCGTGCACTCTCCTTCTCTCACCTGCCCGCGCGCGAGCGTGCGCTACGCGTGCCTGCAGCCAGAAACTTACGGGGCCGTAGCGCACACGCTCGTGCGCGCGATAAAAAAAGAAAAAAAAAAAATCTAGAAAGAATGCTTCCCCTTCTGTATAGGCGCAGCCTTTCAGGTGTGCTTACGTGCGTACACGCCTGTGTATGTGTGTGTGTGTGTGTATGTGTCTATGCACGTGCAAGCGTGTACGCTCGCGAGAGCACGCTCTCCACCCTGTCAGTCTGTTGTTCTCCGGATAGAGACGGAGATCTGAGATACCTATGTATACGTGTGTTTGTGTACTAAGGGAAAGAGAGAAGAGGGCCACCAGTGACGTGTCCACGATCGAGAGACGGAATCTCGATACGTGGTTGGCGAATTAGCGGAGGAACTTCTCTCTCTCTCTCTGTCTGTCTCCCTACGATCTTTGGGATGTGCAGCAATTTTTTTCTCTGTTCAAAGTTGTTCATTTGGAAGTGAAGATTGAAATTGATAAGGCAGTCTCTTTGAATTGCATAAAAACTGTATGGATCCCAGATGCCATGTGTACACGCTCGTAAGTAGTGTAATAAAATTCGATAATGCGAGTTGATTTGAACAAAAGTTGGTCCCTTGCGGTCGTTGAGGAAAAAGTAAAAATTAAATGAAAGAAAAGGCAGGAAAAGTAGGAAGAAGTAATCCCAGGGTTTACCAGGGTGCAGAAGGCTCGGCAAATATTATGTATGTTCATGTTGGTCGAGATAAAGAGAACAAATAGAATAGAAAAGTTTCCAAAGCGGATAGCTATCTGCTGGGCAGTGCAGAGAAATTATTTACAATGACAAGATTAGTGGCAATTATTGTTGTACTTAACCCTTAACCGTCCAATGTGAAAGCGTTGAATTTTTACCTGGTGTTTGGCCATTGTGTGCCAGATGAACCTTGTAACCCTTTCAGGGATACCTGCTATGCACCTTGTTCTCTATGAATTGGCGCGACGAAGCGAAAAGTTACAATCATTTGACTCTATATACTGTGCTTCAAACCGTGAAAATATCTCCTTTGGAACCTTTTACGCCAAACAATTTATTTTAGCAGGTAATAAATTAAAACGAGCAACAATGACTTTCTTATATTACTTACCACGTAGTAAACATGGGTTCAGATAATATCGATTTTAACTGAGAATTAACACAGATCGTTTGAAAAACGAGGGTAAGCCGCCATTGCCATTTGATTAGATAATAGCTCTAATATGTCTTGGGACACTTTCAGTCTTGAGCACGAAGCCCCAACCTAAACCCCATCGAGAATCTATGGGGGGTATGTTGAAAAAAAAAAATTCTAGACGCATACAAATCTTCTCCTAGCTCAGTACTGGAACTACATGCTCGTGTTATAGAACAGTGGAATTAAATGCCACCTGATTTCTGCTCAAGACTGTTTGAAAGTATGCCAAGACGTATTAGAGCTATTGTCTAAGCAAATGGCTTACGGACAAAATATTAAGATATGACAAAGCTTGTGAATCTGACTATGAAAAAATTCTGATGCAAAATTGATTCTACGTTTTTAATTTTCTCAGCCAGGAAGAAACCTAATCTTAAAAGTTAAAAAATAGCTTCAGTTTCCTAAAACTATAAAGAATCAGATAATAGTCAAGTTTATTTTCATGTTTTTATACTTTATATTTAACAATGGAACTTTTCGACATAGACGATGAATCGAAACCGTTTATTTCTTTATATGAACTATACGTTTATTTCTTTGTTCGAATTATTTTTTTTGTATAACACTATGGGTCATCATTTGTGCACACAGTGTACTTGGTCAAACGTATGTCAAACGATGAAGCGTAGAGTTGCTCTAATATTATTGTACAAAAGCAAACTCTATAAAACTCTTGGGACCCTTGAAAATTTTGTTAGAAAACGACGTCGGTTTTGCATTTCTAAACTTGTTAGGGAAAGGTGATTGTAACGAGCGCACACAAATCATCAGGTACGAAAGGTATTTAGGGTCATTCAAAACCATGGACGAAAAATGTGAACTTTCTTTCTTACTATCTTCCGGCAATACGTGAAACGAAATCAGATTTTTAGAATAAGTTTTAGTTCTTCGGTTGGGTCGATCATATTGTCCTCGTCAATGAAGATACTTTTACCAATGTTTATCGTCTTTTGCCATTTCCTAAAATTCGTGACCTCGTTAGTTGTCACTCTTTGACTGGTCGCTTTTCGTCTTTTAAACAGATTTATGGTGCCGTTTATCACGAACGTCTCTCCTTTCTTTCTTTTTTTCTTTTTTTTTATTTTAAGACTCTGCTAGCATTTGCAGGCGATGTTACGAACGTTTACGTCGTTGACTTTTGGGAAATGTGAAATTTCAAAAAATA